ATTACACAAGATTTGTGTGAATATATTTTTGCACTGAGTAAAGATACTCTCCAAAAACTTCACTCTTTGAAAATTTTTATCATATATTTTCTATTGATGATTACACAAAATTTGTGTGAGTTTATTTTTGCACACAAATGTATGAGATCTTAACAAAATTTTAAGTTAAAAAATTCAAATCAAAACTAAAGTTGGACATAACGTGAAAAAATGAAAATGAATTGAAATATATTTTAGAGTAGTTTCAAAGTTATTGTAAAGAGACAAAATTAACTTGTCATTTCATCACAACTTATACTCCACAAGAAAAAATTCTTTTCTCAAAGGTTGAATTGAAAATTGTTGCAAAAAGTTTGAGCCTTCATCGATGAAAAGAAAGAGAAGAGGTCTCAAACTTCACATACTAACAAGAAAAAATATCCATTCATGAATGTTGAAGATTTGCGGTATGAGCGAACAGTCTATATCATTGAAAGGTAGTGGAAGAGTTTTCAAGCTTCTAATACTAAAAAGAAAAAATTTATAATCATGGATGTTGAAGGTTTTCAGTATGAGAGATGAGACTAAATCACTGAAAGGGAATAAAATAGTTTCAAAATTTTAAACAAGTAAAAATCTTCATTAAGTAATGTTGTTAAGTGAAAAATTTATCATTATGGAATTAGTGATGTGACACAAGAAGAAACATCAATATACATGGAGCATATTTCTGAAGAATAAAAATTACATCAGTAGATTTCTGCAAGTGAGATTTGATTATTTGCATCAATCATGAAATATTAACTAGGTTTGTTTACTAGAAGATTATCAAAGCAAATTAATAGAACTTCTATGAGCTATTTTTCAGAGATAAATTCATCAAATTCATTATCTTAAAGATGATCATGATATTGAGACTAAGTATGGCAAGGATATTTATACTGAAAAAAATTCTATTCCACCAACATTTGAATCAATAAACTTGAATAAAATACTACTATGAAACGTAAAATGCAAATGAATAATAAGATGTAAGATCTAAAAGAATTCCAAAAAATCAAACTTTGATTGATAACAAATGGATGAACAATCTCAAACATATATATGATTAATAAAATCTTTAAAGCCAAATTGATAAGTAGAAGTTTCACACAAGCAGAAAATAGAAACAACAACAAAATATTTGTGCCTTAACAAAATATGTTATGATTTGATCAATATATGCATTTGTTGTTATAAGGTTTACATCTTTGATTAGATAAAATTCAAGTAGAGGTTATTCAAAATGAAATTTTAGTTTTTAAAGTGCAATAATCACATTTGCCATGTGCTCGATCGCTAGAGAGCAAGAGTGTTAATTGAGAGCGACGCGTAAATAAAATGTGTGTGTGTTAGAGTAATTCATCGTCTCATCTATCTACTAAAAGTGAAGCAAATGGTGGAATTGCTACTTTATCTTTTTTTACTTGTTGATAAGATTTATCTAAGTGATAAGAGAACTATTATATGTATCTCTCATCTTTATAGTTGTGTTTTGTCTTTGAATGATCTACTCGCATGATGTCTAGTGTTTATATATATATATATATATGATAGAGTTACAGAAATTTTCTATGATATTTTGAAAGAAAAACTTTACATGATTAAAAAAAATTACTAGTCTTTGAAAAAAGAAATCAATAAAATTTGATTTGTAGATTGTTTTAAACATTATATAGCTTAAAGCAACTTCAAGTTAATTGATAACTCGATTAGATGAGTTGATGAAAGCACAAAAATTTTCATAAAGTCTATATAATACATCTGTATACATTAAAAAAATGATTAATAAAATGTTCAATGTCATTTTGTAAAACACATGTTACTTTTTGCAAAAAATCAAATTAACATCAATCAATGCAAAAAGAAACTGAATTATATATTTGAATTGAAGTATTTTGATAAGAACAAGAAAATAATACGTACGAATATTCATATGAATTTAATGAAAAAAACTAATGTTAAGTCACAATAAATACATTTAATTAAGTGCTTGACAAATTTAACATGGTTTATTTTGAACTTCTTTGACATCATTGTAATAGGTTTGGGTTTATATCAAAATTAATGAAATTTTAATCATAATTAGTTTAGATATGAATTAGTTTAGCTAGTTGTGATTAGGTTAGCTAAAATATTTATACTTTGCAAAATAATTAAGATACAAGTTTTTTAGAAGATTTGAATGATCATTACTATCAATACTATCAAATTCTAGGTTTTAACAAAATAATACTTTGATTACATGTTAGTTTTGATTTGTTTGATAATATAAATAAAAATTTCATTGTTTAGGCCAAGTCTAGAATTGACTTAATGACAAGTGAAAGTTCTAGAAGCTTGAAGTTCTGAAATGGCATCTCGCCATCTCAATCTAGGTATAAAATTTTCTTCAAATGTTTGAATAGTATAATAATATGTTGTCACATAATGAGAATTAGTCAAATCTATCAAATTTTATCTTAGTAGAAGTAAGTTAGATGATAATTATTATGTATTATTATGATAATTTTTCAAGTAATATAAATAAAATGGTAGATGAAATAATTTCAAGAAATTTTGAACAGTTTATTATATATTAATATATTTCATCAAAAGAAGCTTGAGTTGTATTATAATTTTGGGGTGTTAATGAGTGTTTGAATTTGAGTGATGAGTGAAAAGATTATGTGAAAGTATGTTTGAAATATGGATATGTCGAGAATACTTCTTAAAACATGATGAGGTATCAAAAAACTATCATAATTTAATTTGAGTGACAATTGATCTATGATATCATAACACACTTCAAAATTTACATAATTCATAATCAAAATAAAAAATTGAAAAGTAAAAAAATGTCATCAATTTTCTACAAAATTTCATCAAAAGTTGTGAATAGTGTCATATATATGATGATATGCAGAAAATGTTATATTATTTTAGTTATTCCCAAGATGAGCATATATATGTGAAATCTAGAAAAGATGTATTAAAACATAGTGAATTAAACTTTCACGTATTAAAGATTATGGTTTATGTTTGATATCTTGTTGGAGAATACCAAATCTTTTCTAGACTACATTAATGTTCACTATGAATAACATATGGTAGGAAAAAATCTACAACATTTGAATTAGAGTTTGTCCACAGTTGATTATGTGTTTATACTTGATTGTGGATTCATTAGTTGAAATTTTATTCTATAAATGTGTGTAGTTTATTTCACAACAAAAAGTAGCATAATTGATTGAATATGCTTATTACATATATATAATTGAAACAAACACTTGTTAATCTTTATGTGATAATCATAGTGCATTATATTTTTTTACAAATCAAATCATGAACATTAGAGTGAAATACATAAATATCATAAATCACTTTGTTAGAGATGAAATTTTTGATAAAAAAAAAGTGAGTTAATCAAGATGGATAGTAAGGTCATTTTAAGAGGCGTTGATCAAAGTTAATCCTTTGGAAAGTTTTAATATACATTGTGGTTTTAGCAAATTTTGCATGAAGATTATCGCAGCCGCATCCATCATCAAAATATGAAAAGGTTAGTACAAGGCTTTCGTGCAGACTTATCTTGTCAATCCGGTGGTGTAGACAACTCGGCAGTGCAGTCTCGTCTAGATATCTCGTTGTCACAACTTTGTCTTGAGCTTTCATACTTATCTAATGTAGATGGTTCAGTCCATCTACATTAGATCAGTATGAAAGCTCAGAGTATAAAGAGAATGAAATACTTTCACTTCCTTCAACATACCAACTTGATTGATGGATCAATCAAGTCTCGTAATTTCATTTTAGTTTTGCTCTACTTTGTTGTGTTGTGACTTGTTGTGTTTGATGTTCGTCTCTCGCCTAGCATGGTTGCATCCGGGCTTTCCGGTCTTAGCTTATACATAACAATTTGATTTGCTCAAGGACTTAAGCTTTCATGCAATCTTTGACAAAATTTAGAATAATATAAATATAAATAGTTTCAATAATTTATTATATAATTTTTATATTAAATATTAAATTAAGATACATTTTTATGTATTTAAATTTTTTCCATAATCAAAATACATCCACTTTTTATAACATTAATGGATTATGCCATGATTTTAAATATGTGTTTTTCTTGTAAAATTTTCTTAATTAATTAATAAACAAGATATTAATCAATTTTATTTAATTTAAATGTTTCAAGAAAATTATTGTAAACTTATTTAAATTTTGTAAAAAATTTTAATCTTGAAAATATAAGATTTGAAAAAATTTCATTAATTCAACTAGATTTTCATAGTGATTAAAGAAATCATACTATACATAATTCAGATTACTATACAAAAAATAAATTTAGACTAAATATGCATACATATTATTAAAAATTTCATACTGTAACCACTGGCAACTGGATTACATTATTTAGATAATGTTGATATGATATGATTTAACTTTTTTACTAATATCTGACATTAAATGTAAAATTAAATTGGAAATTTTTTAACATTTACTGAAAAGATCGTTACTAAAAGTTTATATAAGCGAACATGTGATCTACAGCACAAATGTTACTGATGAGTATATTCGTTTAAAATGATTTCAAAAGATACCTTGCAATGGAGCTTAACAAAATTCTTTTATATTTCAGTAAACAAATTAAACTTATACCTACATATCTAAACCAATATATAGCATACAAGTAATTCGCAGGATATAATGTGAAACAATGTACATCACACAAGTAAACGCTATGAAAAGAGTATTTGTCTATACATGAGGTTAAAGTCAATAATGGGTTTGAAAACCGCAACCTAAGTATTCATGTCGATGGCTTAACATTAATGTGCTTTGGATGGAAATAAAAGAGAATAGGTTTCTAAAATGTGAACTGCAATGGTCTAATTACGTTTTCGCTTCGTTTCTTACGAGTGCGGATTGATGGATCTTCCAATTTTTTCCGTGATTTCTTCGCTCCATTTGTGATTCTTTTCTTTGATCGTTTGCGATGTAGAGTTCTGCAGTTTTCAGCCCCGTCCCTGTTTGTGGCGTGACCAGAAATCAACCAAATTGCTTCCACAAAACATACTTTCAAATCGGACGAGCTTGAAACCAGAGCAGAATATTCGAAGAATCCAGCATCTTAGGGCTATGTCATCGAGAAATTCGATTGTGGCTGTTGTGAATTGTCAACAGCACGTCCCTCGCGTGCGATCTATTGGAGGGTTTAGGTCCTGTCAGTGACGGATTTGGACCCAATTTGGGAATCAGTGATAGGCAACGAGCGGTGTTCTGCAGAGAAATATGATCAATTGATTATATTTCAGTTTTGCCAGCGACTGTGGAGAAGATGGTGGAGACATTAGACTCACCGGGAGGAATGTTTGGTCCGAGGAGGTGTTCGCTTATTTGATGGAAAATTCGAAGGGGTTAGCTGAAGAAGGTGTTGAGTTGATTCTTATGTGAGGGCGGTGAAGGGATCCTTCTGTGGTCGTTCATCGGGGAAGATTGGAAAGGAGATGCGTTGCCGTGTAGGGATGTCCCAAAATGCCTGCTTCTAATTGAATCCTTACAGATAGTTTTGTAGCTCAATCATGTCAGGTTGGATGATTTGAGTCTCATTTGTCAGAGCCCACGGATCTCGAAATTGAGCGTTTCGGAGGGACTCACGATGAGTAGTAGACACGGCGTCAAGAGAGATCGGGACGACTCACCTCCGTCTAGCCGTTCCTCGAGAGCTCGAACTTCGATGAGTGAGGAGCCAGAAGATACCAAAGTCACAGTTCGGCAGGTGGCGGAACATTATAGCAATCGCAGTAATCAAACACGAGAGGAGCGTGAGGCGAGTCCCATCATACATTTGAAGAAGCTCAATAATTGGATCAAGAGCGTTTTGATACATCTGTATGCCAATCGAGGGGATGCAGTTCTCGATTTAGGTTGTGGTAAGGGTGGCGATTTGATCAAATGGGACAAAGCTTCCATTAGTTACTACGTTGGTGTAGACGTAGCCGAAGGATCCATAGAAGATGCAAGAAACAGGTATAATGGAGATACAGATCATGCACAAAACCGCAAGGCTTTCTCTTTTCCCGCACGGCTTGTCTGTGCAGATTGTTTTGAAGTCCCTCTTGACGAGGCCCTCAAAGACCTTCCATCATTCGATGTCTGCAGTTGCCAATTCGCACTGCATTACTCCTGGTCGACTGAAGAACGGGCCCGTCAAACTCTCCACAATGTGACAACCATGCTTTTGCCTGGAGGTATGTTCATTGGCACGATGCCTGATGCGAACGTAATTGTTCGAAAGCTGCGGGACGCTGACGGACTTGAATTCGGAAACAGCGTGTATAAAATAGAGTTTGGGGATTTGTACAGTGAAAAGAAATTCATGAGTCCTCCTTTTGGGATCCAGTACAATTTCCATCTCGAGGACGCTGTTGACTGTCCTGAGTGGCTCGTTCCATTTTCTAAATTTGTAGCTCTTGCGGAGGAGTATGGGTTGGAGTTAGTGATGAAGCAAAATTTTCACGAGTTTGTGAATCAGTATATTCAGAAGACTGAATTTGGAGAGTTGATGAGAAAACTTGGAGCTCTTGGCGACGGGACGGAAGGAAACAACATTTCTGATGATGAATGGGAGGCTGCTTACATTTATCTTGCGTTCGTGTTCCGTAAGAAAGGGACACCGAAAATTCGACAAAGGGCGGTTCCGAAAGGATCATTCAAACGAATAGAACCAGAAGATGTTCTATTCGTTCAATAGCTGGGAAGACAGTTCTGTCCAAAGGTCCATCCAGAGCTTTTGATTCTGTCAATTAACTTTTTGTTCTGAAGGTGTACCAGGCTAATTCGTGTTCCACCCGGATCTGATGCCTTGCTGTTGAAAGCATAATCATGGCACGTCTGATCAAGTGCAATGAGCTGAAGTCTTCCTTCCTTCTGCGATGTCTGAGGTGTTTGGTCACCCGTAGCTCTTGTTGACAGGTTCGTTTGCTCAGAACTTCTCCAATCCTGTTCTTTTCGCCGCCGTAACTGTCGTCTTCTTTATACTAGCTGGATAACGGAGTATCCGGTCTGATTGAGCTCCTTACTGTCTGTTAGGCATCTTTCACCTTCACTCTTTGCACGAAAGATCGCCATCTTGAATCACTTCACATTATTGTCTTCCAACTTATGTTCGTTTCCTGTTACCTCATGCTACTGTCAAGGTAAGTTCTCAATCATTTCTAAAAGCTGTATCGAGGACAAGCCGAACTGCCTGCAGTGACTACTTTTTACCATACGTGACAAAAAGTGGCATTCTCTCTCTCCTGCTTGATTCGAGGTTTGCGAGTGAATCCTGTTTCTCCAATCAATCTTGTTCTGTACATTCTTTCCTTTCGGAGTCGGTGTGTCTCGAGATATTTCTGTTCCCTTATATATATTTCTTCCGGCCCAAGCGGATGAAACAGTCTTAAGGCATAGGGAGAAACTTGATGTTGTCCTGATCATTAGAGAGGTTTTCGCCCGAGCGAAGAGCTTATAAAACATCCCTTTGTCAAGTCACGGGGACAAGGTTGTGCCTTGCCCACGCTTCGGGTTTAGAAGCGTGGTGCAAATCTTGTAGGATGCACTTCAGTTTAGACATTTGCAGGTCATTTTAGCCGGAGGCAAGTGCGTCTGCTCACGAGATCAGGTTGGAAATTCATCAGTCCCTACTTCAGGCAGGACAGGTTATCAAACTCCCATACGAACTCTTTGCCTAATGCACACTACATTTCCATCCCATCGAACTGCATTCATGATTTCTATCGGTTGAAGTTAAAGAATCTGAACATATGCATATCCTTCCTACACAAACTGCTTTTGTTTGTGAGCGATGGAGAAACTTGACGAAGATGAAAGCGACTTCAGCTTTGTAATAAGAGGTGCACGAGCTAGTGTACAATATTACAGCAGTCGCTGATAAGACTGAACTCCAAAGACCATGTTATCCACTCACCCGTCTGTTGTATACACTGATCCCACAAAATCCAAACACAATGAAATACTCTCTTGTCGTAGGGTTTCACCTGCCAAGAACGGTTTAGTGCCGAGATTGCGTCTACCGTTCTCTGTCCCAGTAGTCTATGAGAAAATTGGATATTCGTGTATACAACAAGGTGATGCAGCGAGAGAAGCCTCAGACAAGAACAAGAGGGAATTACTGATGGATTGTGAGCCAAGATAAAAGACAAGTGGGGATGGGGAGTGGAACCAAAGGAAGTCGTGTGAAGATGTAAATCGCCACCCTAAAGACATTGAGAAAGTACAATGATGGCCTTATTGGTTTAATGGCTGGTTAGACAAGCCATTAACGCCATCGAAAAATGTCGTCACGGAGCCATTAGGCACACGATGTCATTTGAAATTTCTTCTTTAACTAGTTATTCAAATACTCACACCACGAAGTAGTAATAGTTGCAAAATAGGTCTTGGGACATACACTTTGTCGTAGCGTCCGCACTTATCTACATTCTTATAAACGATAAACAAATGAAGAAACAAGAAAAATCCAAGAAAGGAGATTTACAAGTGCTTCTTCTGTATCCTCTATTTGAGCAATTGTTATGTTCAGGATTTTGAGCTAGGAGATCACTAACTTATCACCAGTCCTAAGATTTGATTCATTTTAAGTTTCAAACGAAATATTCGTAAGGTCTTTCAGAAAGACCAGTCACAGTCATTCTTGGCTTGACTGACTCTTCACTACCGTCTTGATTACAGAACTGCCTCTTCAGGCAGTACAGTACTTGAAAACATTATTATCTTGATGTGCTCTCCGTTCTTCTTCCCTTCCAGAGCGGTTCCTCCGCGTGATGCTGTCTGCCCAACGGACCTATTTAAATTGTGGAATCATAGAAAGTATTTGAGCCACCGAGTTCCTGCTGTAAGAGTTGTATGATGAAGATACTAAAGCGTTACATACCCCACAAGGATGGACAGCAGGTTTATATACTTGTGAAAAAGGTCCAAAGTGCAACATACGTCTACACTTTCTGATAATTCTTCGGTCTACTCGCAAAATAATGTGAATGATACAAGTTTGCATGCAGATACTCACATAAACAACCGTCAAATTTGGCAACGCTTGGCCTTTTGCAGCAGCCTTCGGACTCCCATGGACCAAATCGTCACCCTCGTACTCAACCTGACTCGTGTGGAGAGCCGAGCACGAAGGCATGGCTAGTACTGGAATGAGTCGACTGCTGACTTGGTCTCTGAGCATACCTGGTCACGGACATTTCTTGCATGGCTGCATGCTAAAAATGTTCATTCCTAATTCCTGGTTGGATAAGAGACCAGATCGTCTTGCTTTCTATACTCTCTCCATCTCACACCAACCACCAAAAGGAAATAAGTAATGAACACTGAATGTTAAGAACGATTATTTTTTCTATATTTAAGAAATTTAAATTTTATCATAAAGTAATCAAATTGAATATACTGTGAATAGTATCTATCTTAATATATAATTATCGGATTCCTGCACTATCAGCATAGTTATCAAGACTAAAAAAGTGATTTCATACTAATCTTTGGATGACAGAAAAATCGATAACCTAGAAAATAATGTCAAATGAATGTTTGTACAAAATCTGATAAACTTTAGGGTCCTCTGACCCTTTTAAAAAAAATTTCGTCAGAACAAATTCTTTATTCATTTATTGTATATTAGAAGTTAATTTTGAATAAAGTTTTAATATATTTCTCATTTATATGTCTTCGCATCCATCCAATTATGCACAACAAAAATAGTGGTTTATATAGTTTAGTTAGTAAACATATATGAAACAAGTAAGATATATCATACATTAACATTGAGATATAAAAAATATTTCTTACGATTTTCTTAGTCTATAGATTTCTATGAAATAATATAATATGTAAAATACAAAACATAATTCGAAATATGTATGTACAAGTAAAATTTACTATTTAGAATACAAAAAACTTTAAAAATGAAAATTTTTATTTTAAGTAGTAAAAATATTTCTAGTAATTATACTTAAATTTCAAACTAAATTTGTTTTGAACACATTTTGATTGACTATAATTAGTCATTCAAAGCATGACAATTCTATTATATATAGAAATTGACGATTATCAAAATGACAGAATTTCAATAATTAAAATTGGAAATCTGATTATATTAAATGAAAGTCAACATTTAAATTGAAGATTGATGTTTTTTATATAAAAAGATACCACAATGTCATGCATGAAACATCATATTAAGAATCAAAATATATAAATTTGGCAATATAATTATTAATTTTGGCAATTCGTCAAAATTTAATGAAATAATATAAACATAATGAAATAGTTGATGATAGATAAAAGCAACATATAAAAATTAGTAAAAAATACAAATTGCATTTCATTAAGATCTGATGATCTAAAAATTATAAATTAGTTGTAACACACATGTGTGAGTTTAAGTCAACATATCTTATGTACACTAGATCCATACTTATTTTCATTACAAAAGGCAATTAATTTAAAGAAAAAACAATTGACCGTTTATGATAAAATTCAATAGATAAAAAATCAATACATCTGTATTGTATAAGGAGAATGTTTTAGCAGATAATTTTATATGATCTATGACACTAAATGAAACACTGCCTTTTGTTCCTTGTCAAACTATCATGTTTATAAAATCTTGAATAATGAAAATAGTCAAGCATAATTCATTTGAATAAATTATTATGTAGTTGCCACATCCAATACAATTCAATCTAAACATCACACATGTCATATAAAACTTGCATTGTCATGATTTGAATACAAAATTTGGGTAAACATACTATCTAATAAATCATATAACATAATATAAAGATGCATGAGATTCAAGTTTGCATAAGATCAAAATTCTAAATTTGAATGATGTTCCCAATCATTCATTGCTTCATACACTGCATGCTTTGCAAATCTCTAACTTTTTTAATCAGTCCATTTAAAAAAAATCCAAATATGAATTCCTCAGATTTTTGACAAATTGTGCAAAAAACCTTCAAAATTCGTCAGATAAATGATTTTATCCTAAAAAATGACATGTTTTTTTAATATCAATCTGTATTTGCAAAAACAGAAAAAAATTATTTTTTTTCATTTTGAAATAAAAAAGAAAATTTTCAATAAATCAATTATTTTGAAAATGTTTCATCTTATTGGATTTAAAATTTTAATCCATTATTTTATTTTTATTATATCTTAATCAAATGATTGAAATAATTTTGCTAATGATCAATTATCTATTATTTACCAAAATATTTTTACATGTAAATAAAAGCAACGTTTAAATATTTTCAAATTTATTCTAATGATATAAAAATTCTTATGATACAAAAAAGCAAGCATATTGATACCTATATCAATATGCTTGCTTTTTTGTATCATAAGAATGTTAAATGAATATTTTTTTGCAAAATATAATATACAATCATCTTACATGATTTGATGTAAATATAATATAAATATATTCATTTTTAAAATTAAATTTAGGAATATTTTGATTAACAGTAGAAAAAAATACGGTATTGAAATGATTAGAATTCATAAAAAATAATTTTATAAATATTTTATTGGATATATATATATTTGAACGAAACTGAAATTAATTTAAAATTGAATTTAAGTTTAAATTAAACACTTATTTTAATTAGAGTGTTTATAAAATTCAACGGAATATTTTAATTTCTAATTGATATAAATTTTGGAATTTTTTTCTAAAACCTAATGGTATTTTTTTAATAATAAATCTTTAAAAAATTTTAATTCAAAATTTTACACGATACATTCTATACGATCAAAAATAACCAAGATTACTCAATTTTTAATAAAGCTTCTTAATATCATTATCAAATTATTTTGGATGAAATTATAATATAAATAACCCTTTTTTTAATTTGCATAAAATACTGTACACTTTTCACTATATGATGTAGATGCATTAAACTTTAAATGTTTTGAACTTCGTTACAATATGTACATACTTCTTTTCATATGTTTCAATTACTTTAATCAACCGAATTTTTCAACTTCATAATCTCACTTCTAGACAAAGTTCATAATATGTGAACTCATGAATTTCATTTCATGATTGATGTGATGACTTTGTTACTCTTAAATTTTGATAGAGAATAATAGTAGCATTTTAGCTATAATGTTGAATATTGATAGAAGACTAGAGTAATTTTTATCCTGTAATCAATCTTTCACATATCAAGTATATGTGAAAGGATGAAGTTTATGATATACTTCATCTTTGCAATGATGAAATGAAGATATGCCATCCCAATCATGGATTGCTGATAAAAATGTTATTGATTTCACATCTTCATCACTTTGTTTTTACTTTATCGTACTTATATTAAAATCCCATTTGAGATTGTATTCAACACACGTAACTGGATGAGTTGATCAGTCCTTGGCCAACCCAATAAAAATCACCTGAAAACACAATCATCAAATTAGATGAGATTTTAATACCATATCCGACATCACATCTCTTACATTATCACATGCATAACAATTATCAATTTGTATAAACTTGTATGTTATCATCCCTTGGTAGACTCTCATCAATTGTACAAAGTATTCCGAACTGAAGCTAAAGATTTGGACATGTTAACACATAACAAGTGGAAGAGTGAAATTGGTCCATGCCTAATAAAAAGATATATTGCTCGTCTGGGATTCTACATTTTCTTATGTAGAACCTCTCCGCAACGAAATCGCTCGCGCAGCAGCTTGATTTAGCGCAAATGGGAAACATGGACACGAAACACGTTCGGATAATAGCTCGGTCCGATTTGAATGTGAATCAAATTGCAAATCGTGGAGCAGAGTCCAACAACTTCGTCCCCACTGTCTTCGTTTTCTGTGCAGAGGACGGTGTCACTCGTCCTCGCGCGGAGAGCACTCCTGTGCTTCTGTCGGCGAAGTAGTTCGGCAAATTCGTCTCAATTTCTCGAATCATTTCCGGCTGCGTAGGCCTCGTCGGAGACTGTTTGAATTCTGAAGTTTGAATTTCTAGACACGTTCAGAATCTGTTTGAATTCTGAAGTTTGAATTTCTAGACACGTTCAGAATCGCTCTTTTGAAAATGTGCCAGTTTTTTATGGAGATTCTGGGCCCGAGACGCGATTCGCTCACTGCGCATTACGACGCTGTCAACTGCGAGTCATCTCGCGGACCATCAGATGACATTTGATCTTTTTCCGATCAAATGACAGACTGGAAATTCGAAACCTAGTTCTTTGATATATCAGCTCGTTCTGTCACCACTACTCGCGGTTTCGAGTCGAGTAATGTGGATTTCCATAGTTCTGTGTCGGAGAGCATCCTCGTTAGAAACTCCTGGCGGATCCTCGACGAGTTGACTGTGCAAACTTCTGTGATCTCATTCACGTTGTTGGATCGTGGAAATGTGCTCCGGAGGCCACATTGGGATGTACGGAATGGGAACGATCTCGTGAATACACACTGATCTGTAACATTTAGTACAGCAAGAAACCCGATATCCAGATGCAACAGGCTTGATCGAAACCGCGCGAACGAACCCCATTGGGACAGGCATTTGAGATTTGGGTAGATCAATACCTCTTGACAATCCCGGACCCTGACTAAAGAATACCAAATTTCAAGCGGGTAGCAGCAGGGCCGTAGTCGTTGTACGGGTAGGGCAGAAGAGAAAGCACCAATTTTGCCGCAGGAATCAGAGGAGAAGGATGTCCGGTGACGATGAAAGGAAGGATCCCCCTCTCGGACCACTGGAGGAGACTAATGTGCCAGGTGACGAGGAGAAAATGGAACCTTCTCCGAGGTTACTGGAGCCGATACCCAAAAAAGAGAGGCCGGATGTGCTGGATCCGATTTCTCGACCATCAGTGTCAGCATCACGTCCTCAGGAGGTTCGGTTTCAGAGAGAGAGAAGGAAATTGTCCGAAACATCAGCTCGGAAAACGATCACTGATCATTCCAAAGATAGTGAGCCTATGTCTGCAGCGGAAAGAGCAGACTTATCGGCCGCAATAGCCCGGAAAACAGTAAACTTCAACACCAACACCCCTCTCGTCCCACTGTCGATGAAAGAACGAAGAGAGCTTGTGAGGTCGATCTCAATCGTTGTCAGAGAGCCCGAGACTCCCTCGTGGTTTTCTGAAGGACTGGACGATGTTGAAGAGGAAGGAGAAGGCAAAAAAGAAGAAGAAGAGGCGGTCGAAAAAAAGGAAGTGGCGGAGCCAAGTCGAGCTCCAGAAGGAAGTGGAGATGGACCTTCAGGTGCACCTCCAGACGAGAGTACCGCTCCTCCACCAGCACTCCGTAGAGCTTCGACTCGACTCACTAGAGTTCCAACCAAGAGAGTATTTCCTACTCCAAGTACAAAAGACGAAGAGAGACTAAACCCGTTTTCGAAGAAGGAAAGGAGAGCCCTTGTAAGATCACTCTCCATGGCAGTTGTGGCACCATCAACCCCTGTTATATGGGATCGGGATCCTGCTGATCCGAGCGAATCCGAAGAAGGTCAATCCATAGACAAGCCTGAATTCGCTCCTCCACCTCCTGATTTGGATGAACTACGAACTAAACCCAAGGTGATTGACCGATTCGGCTGCAGACAGCACGTTGGCTACCTGTTACAGTGATCAAAAGCTAATGTCTGGACTTTGTACAAGTAGAGTGCTGGTCAAGTGTGTACAGGCAAGTGCGCCTCATACTGCACATCTGCTTCTTGCCTCGGGGAATGTCAGCCATCTCAAGCTTCATGGTTTTCTGCGCAGGTTCAGAAGTCGGGAAAACGACATAGAACCGTTCGAGTTCATGTTTCAGATCTCGCCCGCAGTCATGCAGTTGACAGCCTTGAGTATGTCTACATCAGCCATTCCTCTAGTTGTAAACAATTTTGACTTCGATGGTCTCTCATCGGGATGAGCATACGATATGGAACCAATGAACCTGCTGTAAACCACTGCAATCTTTAAATTTAGTCGGCGTTAGCCATGATCGTCAGTTGTGTTAAAGCACAGAGGCATCGCTCCTCGCGTGATCACGGTATACACTCGCAACCTGGAGCTGACTTTTGGCTTAGTCACAGTCTATTAGAAAACAACATCGGAACATAGCCATCTACTTGCAAGCTGAATTTTTCTACGCACCTACGTCTGCGAGATTTGAAGGAGCTACATACAACCCCGCACAACTCAGTTCTGCTTCTCGCTGATGATCACTGTTCTTACTGTCCTACAGATTTTGTAACAACAAGGTGAAATCGGCCAAGTACAGCCTGTCGTCGTTCATACCTATGAATCTTTTCATGCAATGCTGCCGAGCTGCCAACTTGTACTTCATTCTTATTGCTGCTCTTCAGCTTATACCTGGATTTTCTCCCACTAGCTGGGGTACCACAGTAGCCCCTTTGGCCTTCGTGCTACTCTTGAATGCCGTTAAAGAAGCTATTGATGACTTCAAGCGGAACCTCTCAGACCGAAGTGTAGGTACTGAAGCTCCTCCTCGTAGTTGCGTCATTCTTCATATGCCTTACTTTAAATGCTTGAACCATTTACTTAAGCATAAGTCTTTGAGCCTTTTGAAGATATGAATTGTTCCATCAGTACAAACTTTGAGATTAATAACATGTCTTGTGGAAGCCGTCAACAAAATGAAGATTTCGGGAGGAAGTGGCTGGAAACCCAGGAGGTTATTTACCTGCTTGATCTTCTCTCATAACAGGTCAACAAGCAGAAGGTAGAAGTGATGAATGAAAGGAAGTTTCTTCAAATGAACTGGAGCTCCGTTGTTGTCGGGGACATTGTCCGCGTAAAGTGCGATCATGAATTTCCCGCTGACCTGGTGTTCTTATCATCATCAGATTCTAAAGGTAAGTTGAAGCGTTGTCATGTGCAAAGTATTTTCAATTTTTCCACAGTAGCTCCACTTTCACGCATAGGGCTGCGACCAGTATACCAATTATAGGAACTAATAACAGGGAATACTCAGGGCTAGCGTATGTGGAGACTTCCAACCTAGATGGGGAGCCGAGTCTGAAAATGCGGAGTGCGTTCTACAAAGGATCGCAAACATCAGCAGACGATGAAGATGAAAGTTCCCTGTCCATCTTCTCGGGATTAATCATCGAGTGCGAACTTCCCAACAATCGACTTTACAAGTTCGACGGTGCGATAAATCTTCAGGTTGAACACACGCACATTGGAGAGTCGTAGCAGATTCTGAAGCAGGTCGCTTCCAGTAAGCAAATCTAGTTCAGCTGATCAAACTTGATGTCCTTTCACCACTTAAATTTGGCAGCGGCCTGTAGGTTGAGTTCTAGAAGTTAATCACAGGATGGCGTACTTTTGCAGGACTATGGGAAGCTACCCCTGGATAACCGACAGATTTTGCTAAGAGGTGCTACCTTACGCAACACCGAGTGGATCCTTGGAGTTGTTGTTTACACAGGTGCTGACACGAAGTTTGTGCGCAATATGATCCCTGGCCGAGTCAAGGTGCAACCAAATTTCCATTCTTCCATCAAGTAGAAGTAGGTTTCACTTGAAGAACCTCAGCGCAAAACTGCTAGATCTGAAATGGGACAATCAAGAGTTGCAGAATCACATGTCAACGTTTGAGTGGAGTTTTTTTCCACTTTGGAGGTCACTAATTGATATTCATTCATGGGCATATGCAGGTTACTGAGCTTGAAAGAAACGTGAACATCCTAGTGGCCATGGTCTTTTTGGCCCTTGTTGCTATCTGCATTGGCTTGGCAGTAGCGCAAGATTCGTGGGCGCGTAAGAATCCTACTATGTATTACCTCTCATACGATATATATAATGTTCAACTCGGAGTGTTGCCATCTGAGATCGGTGCACAGTTTGGCAGGTACTTCATCACTTAGTAGTGAAGTTATTTGTTCAAAGTACAGGAGACTCAGCATTCAAGTAGAGGATTCCTCTAAGCTCCGTATGAACACCCTTTGAGCACGTGGATAATTGGACTTTGAATGGTCTTCTTTCCAGCTTTGTGTTCACAATTTGTAATGTTTCTTGCAGGTTTCTCATTTTGTTGAACCAGCTCATACCCCAATCGTTGTATGTTACCCTAGAGATAGTCAAAGTTGTGCAGAGCTTCCTCCTCGATCACGACCTTCAAATGTACCACAACGCTTCGAAAACTTATGCCAGAGCACGCACCACCAGTTTAAATGAAGAATTGGGCCAGGTCAGAACTCTTCCGCCAGATTGTCCCCAGACAAGTCACACAAATAATGGATCCAGCTAACCCGTCCGTGCTTTAAAGATTTTGACAACAAGATTAACGACGCAAACGACTTGTAATAGGAAGCTCTGGGCTATGTCTACTAACTGCACCCATGGCCCTACTCTGTAAACCTTTTTGTTTTCTGCAGTGTTCTCAAACTACTACGATCTATCTATTGCTTCTTGGTACCCGTACTGATCATGCAAGTTCAAGCTCTTCTTACAAATTTATGATTATTGGTTAGTGTTACTATAGAAAATTGAGTATGGATGCTTGATGACTTTGTCAGAGTTTGTTCGCCTTCTGTTGAATTGCACCAGGTGCAGTATGTGATGACCGACAAAACTGGCACTTTGACTCAGAATTTGATGGCTTTTGTACAATGTTCAATCAATGGTAAGGTCTATGGATCCCCAGTACATGCACCTCTACCAGAGAGTGCACCAACAATTCACAGGATAGTAGAAGACGAGGTTTTACAAGCGATGTTGAAAAAATTAGCAGAAGGTTCGAAAGAGCCTGATGCCATGTTCGTCCATTCGTTTTTAAGTCACCTTGCCATATGCCATGTTATACAACCAGTATTAGCAAGCGACGCTGATCCTGCAAAAGCCGCCAACAAAGCAACTGCCGGACAGACAGTTGTAGGAACTCTCAGATACACAGGAGCCTCGCCAGATGAAGAAGCTCTTGTACAGGTATACCGTCCAGCCCATTTGGTACACCGGAAGTTATCGAGCTATGCTTATCAACCATCTTGTGGCTTCAATTGGATTGAGTTCATGACATTACACATTCTGTGCACTTTTACACAGCACTTAACTTCATCCTATCAGGGTAAATCGTGTCGTAAAAGAGTAGTTCCTGCTCACTTGCTCACAAAATCCCTCCTGTCACCGCCCCTAGGGTGCTGCCGACTGTGGATATCGGTTGACGAAGCGTACAACAGATGAGCTGCATGTAGATATTCCGGTACGTTGATCTTTGAACGGTTGATCAAGTGCGTTGACAAAGCTCAACGGGACAGTAGATATCAATTGTAATTCTAAGTAGGTCTATATAACCGTCCTTTGAAGTTGGCCGACGAAAACATCGGCACCTTGACAGGTGCATCTATAGACTTTCATTTTCTAGCTTCTTCCTGTGTAATTCTCTTGTGAGTCATACCATTGGGGTGAATGTGAAAGACGTTGCGGCTAGGGTGGTCATTTGGCATCACATTGCTTAGGACCAAGGGACAGAATTAGGAGAAAGATCGCTGAGTAGAATCGGTTTTCATTCTGTTATTCCTATCTGCTCTACCTTCGCATGTGGATGTTGATTGATTCACTGCAGGAATAGAGTTCGTTGTCACAAGTTTTTTTATACTTTCCTTTCAGATTCATGGATCTAGAAGAATCTGTAGAAAAGAAATTGAGTTGTGGCTAACTTTGCCCTGGCTACATTTTATAGTAAAAAACATAATCGGTGCCCTTGATATGGTCATGCTGTTTTGATTATTAGTCGTGTGCCCTTTCAGAAACTACTACTGACATAATAAAAGAATACACCTCTCTTTCTGCTACGTACCCATCTCTAGGTCAGAGTTTTTCAGAGCAATCCTGGGTTGATCACTCCAGTACCCACTTTTTTGCTATCCATTTGCTCCCCTATTACTCAACATTTTGAGATGACTTCCATGTATACTTAATGTTATTCTCAAAGAAACTATTAATCGCGAACTTCCTGGAATATCTGTCTCTGCCGTGGAGGACCCGAGAGGGTCACATGGTTAGCTGTCATTAAAGAGACCGAAATATGTTGTACTAATTTCCTGGAGACTGTATGTTTTTGTAGGGTCAGGGATCGCAAAAGTTTGCTATTTTGGCCACTTTAGAATTTACAAGCGAACGAAAAAGAATGAGCATTATATGCAAAGACTCGAAAGGAAGGTTGATTCATACTTCCCATCTGCTTAAGCTGTTGGACGTTTATAACAGGACGATAGCACGCTTTTGACCAAGGTTTTCTTGATGCTACAGGATCAAACTCTATTGTAAAGGTGCAGACTCGGTCATCTTTAAGAGGCTTGGAGGAGATCAAGACGAGATCATCCTTTCCACTCTGCAGCAACTCGAGGAATTCGCACGATACGGATTCCGAACTCTTTGCATGGCCGAACGTGAGGTAATCTTCTTTTGAATAAGATCCATTGCCCTCAAGAATAATGTTTTCCTCACACAACTTAACCCTGATCAAAGTGAAGTTCAAGAGATCGTCGTTGACTTCACAAAAGGGATACATGGAAGTGGAGCAGCAATAAAATACGTACAGTTGTTTCAAGTCAGGCATGGCCGAGAGATAATATTGTTATGTCATAATGCGCAGATATCAAGGAATGAGTACGAGCAATGGGCAGGTCATTTTCGTTCCGCAAGCGTTGCCTTAGATGAGCGAGATGAAAAGGTCGCAGCTGTGGCGGAAGAAATCGAGCGTGATATGGTTAGTTTGTTCCTCAACTTTGTAAGCGTGACTGCATCGTATGGTTAGTTTGTTCCTCAACTTTGTAAGCGTGACTGCATCTTGTGCTTTACGGATAACATGTAGCTTGGATGGATGGAATCTAGCTACAGGTCACCGCCGCAGGTGTGAAGGCTTTTAGAGAGTACGGTGGCGATGAGTCTAAGAGCGAAAATATTGGCGGTTAAAGATTAGTTTTTTTTAGACCTTCCTCGATAATTGTAAGGCAGTAACGAGGGAACTGACACGTCTCTCGCAGACTCTTTTGGGAGCCACAGCTGTTGAAGACAAGCTGCAAGCCGGAGTACCGGAAACTATCACAGTTCTTGCGTTGGCTAACATCAGAGTTTGGGTAAGATTGTTAAAATCGGATGTGCTTCCCTCGTTGCATTTGGATAGAGCAGAAAATTGTCCCCCTGGGCATTACTGAAGTCATTCTCGGTCACACATCCACTGTCAAAGATTTAATCGGTCATATATTATCCACATTATGATTAAGCCGTGCTCTTCGTCTGTTTCACATACGTAAAAAATTTGTCGGAAACGGAGGTCGTAATGTTTTGTAATGTCTCTGGTGTAAGGATCCTGACAATTGGGAGTTGAAGTGATTGCCATGCATAGACGAACTGAAAGAGATTCACTCTCTACTGTACTCTGCAATTTAATCCCCCATACTATGAGTCCCTTCTTGAGGTTGCTTTCCCGTTGAATGCTAAAGTTGATGCATTACATTTAAGAGTGCTCTGGAAATTATTCTTCCGTTTTTGCTTGAACTGTAGGTTTTAACAGGCGACAAATTGGAAACATCCGTCTCGGTGGCTCTCTCTTGCAATCTTCTAGCCGATTCAATGCATTTATTTCTTCTGTCAGATTTAGTTCAACAATCTGTCCCTCAAATGCTCCGAAGCATGCTGGATGAAGCAAGGAGACAGGAGCAAGCCAGGTTGACATTGGGTAATTCACATAAACACATTGAGGTTTCCTCTTTCTTTCAGAGACAGCTCCCCTATTGGTGCGACAGTAAAACGAAGGTTACAGCGTTTTTTTAAAAGCGTCTCAAAAAGAAACGTGAATTGATATTTGTGAACCTCTCGGTGCTTACGCTTCTGCCTATGGAAATATTGGTCCTTCACCTTGCATAGAGAAGGATATCCCCCGTAAGATGCTTTCAGCAGTTCTTCCACCATAACTTAGCTAAATGGCGCTGCTATTAGCAATATCACTCTTGGGTCAACATTTTTGTACCTTAGTGAGAAAGATATTGTAACAAGCGGGTATTGATTTTTATATGCATTTGTCAGAAAATTCGTACCATTCAGACATGGCAACTGTCATCGAAGGTCATTCATTATCGGTAGCCTTGGAGGATAGCAACAAACTGGTGTTCTTGGAGCTTTGTCAACTCTGTCGGTCCGTCATATGCTGCAGAGTGTCCCCTTTCCAAAAGGCTCAGGTGAAGTAAGTTCTTCTCCTGAATGGGTTTTATCGTCTAGGTTCTCCAAACGTTGTCAACTTTGCTTCGTGGTGTCTATCTACAGTCATGAGCATGTGCGTGTAGACCCTCTTACAGCTTCTAGGGTGGCTTAAGATAACTCCTAATACTGACGTCGATGCATGATAATACGTAGTTGGATGGTTTGTGACTTTCTCTTAAAGATCTAAAGATCTTTTAGTGAAAGTTACTTGAACCTTTGAAGTAGTGAATGTATTGGAACAGATGTACGTAATTTGCTGAGTTTGTTCGAAACGTAAGGAACTTAATGGACCTCTTGGATCATCAACTCGTTCGATTCGTAGGTAACGAGGTTAGTCAGAGAACAAGGTAAAGGAATCTGTTTGGCTATCGGAGATGGAGCGAACGATGTGGGTATGCTGAAGGTTGCCCAAATTGGAGTTGGTATTGGAGGTCGTGAAGGAATGGCCGCAGTTCTGGCGAGTGATTATGCTATATCAAGATTCCGACATCTCAGACGTCTTTTGCTCGTTCATGGCAGATGGTTAGTAGACGGTAACCTTTTGCAATCGCTTCAATTTCAATCTTCCCGTTGCAGGCCCCTGTCCTCAATTCACTCAGTACTGATCCAGCCAGCTATTCCACTTTTGATCCCGACAGAAGCAGTTCACTAGTCAGTCTAGCATTGCATTTCAATTGCGTGCTCTCTGAATGCAGCAAACAGAACTAATTAACGACCAAGATAACATTCAGGTGGAGTCATTCACTCAAATCGTTGTAAATGACTTGTAATAACTTGGTTGTAAAGAGTTAGATGTAAAGACAACATCCTTGATGAAGATCTAGTTGAAAATTTACATGGATATACCAGATGAATACTACACATTGAATGAGAAAGCTTGATTGTGTAAAAAAGCTTCGTATGGGCTAAAGCAAGTCCCTAGGAGTTGGTATCATAAAGTTGATGCTTATTTAATAATACAAAGCTTCAACATATCATATTCAGACATGAGGATACGTAGTGTCTACAATCAGGATGACTACTCTATATAGCAATAATTGGAATCTATATGGGATGGGAGAAGAGTGAGGTGTGAATGAAGAGTGTAATATCCAAGATTTCTCTATATTTAGAATGGCATTGCTTGATCTACTGTATATTCACAATGAGAAAAATCAGAAGGGGAGATGGTTGGGTTTTCCGTTTCAAATAACATTGCGGATCTTGTACATAAGTATCACGTACAATCATAATTTGGCATCCTTGATCATGATTAGGATGCCTTCTCTAATCTACTTCCTTGAACATGGCTATAGGTTGAAAAAGAAGACGGATGAAAATAGGGAAAAAAAATCTTAGGAGACTTGAAGTTCAGTATAAGAGGGCTCTAGATTCACTCCTGTTTTCTATGGTTTGTCTAAGATCATACAAAGCTTACTTGGTGAGAGGTCCAGCCACTTACACTAGTCCAACTCAAACAAATTGGAGATGTCGGAAGTGAGTAATTAATGTACGATTTGCTACATAGGATGGAGATTAGGAAAGCATTAGATCCACAAGTAGTTACCTATCTACTTTGAGAGGTGAAGCTATTATTTGGGGAGTAGAAAAGCAGAAATATATATCTTAAGTCATTAATCAAGAGGTGAATTGATCCTTGTATTCATATTTTGTTCAAGTATCTCCAACGTACCTGATTTGTGAAAATATTGGTGCTATTGAGATTAAAAAAAAACCATGTCCATCATCCTTGTATTGAGGAATTCTCAAGATTTGTAGAAGTGAAAAAAGAGGAAGGAATAGTTACAGTAGAATGATGAAGTGACGGCGGATGTGCTAACAAAGGAGAAGCGTACAAAGTGTAACAGAGTTGTGTTGATAGAGATAAGTATGTTCATGTATCTGTGGTGGGAGTGTTGTGAATTTACGTAACAATTTTCATTACAATATAAATTTATTTTGTGATTGGATTGATGGTGAGTAATATAAGGACTAGAGTAATTTACTGTTGGTTAATTCATTTAGCTGATACATCCTGGGTGAGGATTGACCACCCAATTTCGTTCCATGTTTTGGATTTGTCTTTCCATGCTCAAAGTTGAGCGTGTTATTTGTATACACTGTTGGTTAGTTGGTGATTCAATGAGGTCAAATATCAGATCTTGCCCGTGACTCACAAGTCAGCACTCACAAGAGTTGTAGGCCATGAGCCCTCTAAATCGTTGCCAAGTCATGAATCTACACAAGAACCAGAGTAATCACGACGTGAAGAGAAGCATTGTTTCAAAGGATCCTGAACGTACCTGTTGTATCTTGCTCGTATTGTCTGGAACTGACATATCTGGTTTGCCTTTCGTGTCTTTGTCGTTGCTTGTAGGTCTTACAAGCGGAACAGGGAAGTGGTGATGTACGCTTTTTACAAGAATTATGTTTACGTATTGGGAAACATCTACCTTGCATTTCTCTCCGGATTTTCAGCCCAAAGTCTCTACTCCGCTGCCGAGATCACTACATACAATCTTCTGTGGACAGCTCTGCCGTCACTGCTTTTCGCTCTGCTCGACAAAGATACTAGCGACTGCACGGCAGAAAATAACCCCCAGCTCTTTCTGGAAACGCAGTCCGAGCGGAGAGGTCAATTCCTTTGGTGTATGCTCGGTTGGGGCTTGGCTGCTTTATGGGACTCGTTGGTGGCTTTCTTCCTACCCTTGGCTGCGGTTCATACGCTCGGGTATTTCTCTACACCATCAAGCGTATCTTCGTCAAAATATTTCCGTTTTCTTACATCTAACAAGCAGGGGCAGTACCAGTGGCATTTAGAGGTAGATTCCTAAGAAATAGCGATGAATTTAAGGAACATAATGTGAGCCTCCAGCAACAGCGTATCTCGACATCTTAAGATTAACATGTACCGAATCGAAGTCAGGGAGTGGTACGAACGGGCCCCTTCAGACGAGGTGGAGAGTTTCTCATGTACTGCACCGGGTGCTTTTGCAGGGGAACGGGAGAAAGCGCAGATATATATACTTTAGGTTCGACGATATTCACAATAGCTCTCATCACAGTCAACCTGAAACAGTTCTTCCGCATGCATAATTACACGTGGTTGCATTTTTTTTCCTTCCACTTCTCGACGTGGGTTTGGATCCTAGTCTTGTACCTCTTCTCCGCCTTGTACAAATACATAAAGACCATACCTGACCTCAGTGGGGTTGGGGTCGAATTGGTGACATTGTCCAACTTCTGGCTTCTGCTCTTGCTCTGCCCCATCACGGCCTTGCTTCCGGGAACAGCCTTCGAGGTGTTTCATAATCGGTACGCCCCATTGGATTCTCAAATCATGAGAGAGATCGAGCATGGCTGGATGGATGGATTCTTCTTCGACGATGCTCCAGACTTTGTCGAGCACATACCAACAACAGAACCAGAGTACGACCTTCCTGGACTCGACGGGCAAGGACCTTCTCCTTTACACCAAGAAATTGCAGACGCCAGACAGGCCGCCATGAAAGACGGCGGAGCCGCGGCCGAAGGTGACAAAGCAGACGGAGAATCAGGTGCGGAGGATGGAGGCACCCCTCGAGCCGAAACGGAGGTCGACGATCGGGTCCTGCAGCCCAGAAGGCTCACTTGGAGGGAGGTGACGAACGAGGATGACTTGGAGGATCTTCACAGAGCCGACACTCTCGGCAGATTTGGCCGAAGGAGAAGCAGCGGGTTTCAGATCGTGACTCGCTACACAGATGCATCCGGAGCGCCCGTTCCCCTCGTGCACGGGCCCGCTCCTCCTCAAAGTAAATCGTCCATCCGTCCTCCCTTTCCATGCATTGTACTTCGTATTGTCCGGACCTTCTGCTGAAAGAACGCATGTAAACCCAACATTCCCCGACAGTGCTGGGATCGCCTTCCTCGTGTAAATACAGCTCACCACACTAGAGAAGAAAACACCATCCTCCGTCGTATTGTCCGGACCTTCTGCTGAAAGAACGCATGTAAACCCAACATTCCCCGACAGTGCTGGGATCGCCTTCCTCGTGTAAATACAGCTCACCACACTAGAGAAGAAAACACCATCCTCCGTCCTCACCTTGAAGGTCGCTTCTCCTCCTTCAAACGATCATGTAGGTACAGGAGCTGGCTGAGAATTCTTCGTCGTGTACGCAACTCCTTCTGCATGAATTCAGTGTCCGTCGTTCCTCCGAGAATTGCTGACGTCTGAAGACTAAAAGCGAAATTCTGACGAGGAATTGGGAAATTCTGCGTGCAGGGAAATCGGTGGTGCCGGATGGGAAGCAGCTGATACCGCTGAAGAGCGGGGCGTCGGCGAGCAGATCGAGGTCGAGGTTCTCGGGCGAGGGAGGCCCCAAGGCCCCGCCGAGGCGAGGGAGGGGCGCGGAGAGGGCGGCGAAGAAGAAGAAGGAGACGTGGTTGGATCTGGCCAAGGTCGACGCGAGCCCGATCGAGCGCATGCGCTCGCGCACCGACAGCCTCAAGCCCCCCTCGAGCCCGCGCCTCGTGGTGGCGCACGCGCCCCGCTCGTCGAAGCTGCACGCGCGGCCCTCGCGCTACGTCGACTCGCACCCCCGCCCCGCGCCGCCGCCCAGCTCGCGCTCCTCCAGCCCGGCCCCGTCCCCTCGTGCCCCCGACTCCTCGTCGCCCGGCAAGTTCCCCAAGTCGTCCTACGAGACCCCCACCCACTCCCCCCGCCGGCCCCATGAGCGCAAGCCTCTCTCCCGATCCCGACTCAGCTAGTTCGCCTCTATTTTCGTCATATTTTCGCCCTATATTCGCCTCTAAATTCGGCTGGCCGGCAGCGCTGCCGGCCACGGTCGGGGCCCCTCGGCGAAGGACACCGTTCTTCAATTCGGACGTCCACGTCACTTGCTGACTGGACGGGACCGGACCCTGTCAGACCGATTCCTCGCCTCCATGGACTTTCCACGTGGCAGTACCGTTTTATCACGCGCAGAGAGTGACACAGGTCATGGATTTGTGGAGCAGAAATCAGAATTCAGTCGTGTGCTCTCAGTCATCAGAGCCCAAAGCATAATTCCATTGAGCTGCTTGATTTGCTCTCGACATCTCTCGAGGTCGGACTTTGACATTGGATCAAGTTCTGATTTCAGTGGCACTGGCGACGGGGCTTGAAGGTGAAGTGGGAACAACTTGAAGGCTCATTGTTTTTATATGAAGCGTTCATTTTGAGCAGAATTACCGAAAATGAACTAAAATTATGCAATTACTCATAATTTTAATACAGAGAAAATTCGAATCTTTCTGCCCGCAAAGCTTTGCATCTATTTTCCGATAATGTGATGTGGAGCATGGGGTTGCACCTGACAAAGTTGGCAAAAGTTGACAACTGTGGATCTCAAGAGTTGACAAAAGATAGAAATCATTCCGTATATTTAATTAAAGTGTGATGCATCACACTTTAATTTTTACATTAGACATGGAGTGGAGATGAATTCTGCTGGCCGAAAAGGTGGAGTGAGTATAACGCACAGGTTTCATAGAAGCTTAACGTATGCGTATCGGCCCTCGAAGAGATGTCGAGAGCACATCACGAAGGTCACAGGAACTGCCATGCTTCGGGATGACTAAGCATATTTGATTGTTCTGTTTCCCTACCACAGATCATATGAGTCATACGGTATGACCTATTCCTTCCACCATCAGATCTTCTGTCGTACCATCAGGTGCAAATGAAACTCGTGGGAGAGAGTTCCACTTGTATGCACAAAACACAAAATGGGCTGAGAATCTTGTTTTGGGCAACATGCGAAACCAATCAGAATGTCGATGCATCGAAGCAAGTTACTATTGCCATGGGTCAGTGAGAATATGCTCATCTGTATCAAAATGCTCGACTCATGTGGACGTGCTTTTCGACTTCGGCCGTCCTCGAAATGACAAACTCATCGTTTGGTCGGTTGCCAACATGAAAGACATTTGAAACCATTGAACAGAACTGCAGTTCGTTTCAGATCATAGTACAGCACGCGAGTACATTCTTCGCCGAGAAGCGACCTCCAGGTTCTACCGAGCTGTAAACAGGCAAAGCTTCATTGGACTTCAGCAAGCAAGCACACACACGCAGAATGATCTGACATGGATGGACGTCAGGAGCTCAGAAACTCGTGCATACCCGTCTTCCACCCACAAGCTTTCGAACATGCGCACATGTCTTTCCAGTTCGTTGTACAAAAGACAATATCTGCCGGGGCATTTATTGCAGGGTACTGCGGTGGCGCAATATATCCAGACACAGGCAGAAGCTACAGCTCCATGTCGAAATCTAATTCAAGCTGACAAGATGAAATCTCACCTTGTCTCATCATCCCTTGAAAAGAGGGCGTTAGTACACGAACCTTCTAGGCACTCATGGATTTCACTAATGAGAACTTGAAACATTTAACCCCGTCCTCAAAGTTTGACTTCGCTGCAGTCCGTCCTTCGTGACATTGGGACAAAAGCGATGACGTATTCCTCGGTCATGAACAGCACAGAGAAAGTTCCAGACTGTCTATTTGTTCGGCTTCAAAGATTGGCTTACAGTGCACTCTAGAAAGGCGGCCGGACGCCTTGAAGGAAACAACACTCTTGGACTGCTGTTTCTCAGAAGGAGTCAGGTGGATGCTGACCTGCAAGTCGAAACGCGTGATCTCCTCTGTCGATATAAGTTCAGGGTTGATGGCGTCCTCATAAGATCCGCCACAAGAATCAGGTAAAAAAGGATCGTGAGTTTGGCAATATGTATCGAGATTTCTGCATCAAAATCGGTAAGCCCTTCCAGAGAGCTGATTGTTAGAGACATCGTTCAGCTCTGGAACAGATGACATGATTTGTATGTAGGCTGCATAAACAGAGAATCGTCAGATTGGTGGGTACGCACCTTGAAGTGTATATCTCTAAGCAGGAGGATTCTCAAAACTACAATCTTCGCTGATTTTGTAGATACGTGCGGCTTATTCAGGCCATATTTATTGGTCATTGTTAATTTCATTGATTCTGATCGATTTAAAGATGAGTTCTGATCGTCGAGCGGAAATCATGGTGCCAAACAACCAAGAAGAGAAGGTGCGTCTCACGAATATTATTCACCTGATTACACAGCTCAGGACACGTACCGACTGCAGATTTTTCATCATACTAGATTTAAGATTTTGAAGCTGATGTGTATGGACCACAATTGTCGCAGATAAACGATTCTCTTTACGAGCTGAGTGCTCGCAGAGATCAGGAGCCTGACATTGACATCATCTTCTTCCATGGGCTACAAGTAAACTTGCCTTTCGTAGGAACTAAACATTCGGATGCATACAAGAGCTCGTGGGCATGCATGTCCGATCCCTCGGTGTGTTGGCTGCAGCAATGGCTCGGTCCGGATCTACTGCAAGAGGGAACTCGCGCTCGAGTGTTTTCGATATCTTACGATTCCAGTGCATTCCAAACGTCGACCTCAGGAAGGGCAGACCTGCATCTCATATCTGAGAATCTGATGAACGACATCGTATTCTTTCGGAGGTCTCGGCTCAGAGGATATCGAATTGGGGAGAACTGGCCTGTGGTGCTGGTCGGGCACAGTCTCGGGGGTCTGGTGTTGAAGCATTTCGTCATCGAAGCACAGAAACGCAAGGACTGGTTACAACGAGATCCGAGTGCGGGAGCCAATCTTCAGACTGTGACAGACTTTCTGAGCAACATCAGAGGTGTGTTCTACTACTCGACGCCTCACAATGGAGCAGCTCTGGCAGAGCTCATGCAATTCTGGCCTGGGAAGACGAGCCCCGTGGTTCAGTTTCTGCGAGTGCTGAGCAAGGACTCCGCCAGACTCAACAGCGACTTCTCCACATGGCGCAGACTCGCAGCTGTTCAAGCCTGGACTTTATTCGAGCAAAACAAGACTTCGTTTCTCGTAAGTCTTCAACTCATCCTTGATTTGAGACTTGCTTTGACTGACGTGCATGCTCTTCTCGATCTGATCTCGTTGAGTCTCTTGATGATAAGTATGCTTCTCTTTCGATATGCTGGAATTGCAGGGATTCCATAAACTGGTTGTCAAGGAAGGATCGGCGAGGTATGATTCTGATAACGTGAGGTCAGCTGCAGCTGATCACTTCTCAATTTGTAAGCCCAAATTCAAGAGGGATGTACAATACGAATGGCTCGTCCAGTTTTTAGAGGTAATCCTTGCGAGCTGGGCAACTCGAAAATCAGGGCCTGCGCACGATGTTCGAACTCACGATTAGGGTGCAGGGTTTATGGCAACCACCCTCGCAGGAATCATGTTTGGTTCCAATACTTGAAGAAACTGACACTCCCTTTATCTGCGGTGCTATGAACACGTCTTCTTTCCGTGATGGCTGTGGCATCAGGTCCGAAATATATAGTCATAATATTCAGATTCATTTTTCTCGTCCACTCTTGCATCCCAACGTCCATCGCTTTTCATATTCTCCACAAAGATCAGATAAAGAATATTTATAAAGCTACGGTGGTGGTGTAATAAACGTGGACACTTGACTTGGCACCCATGAAATCTTAATTTGGGTCTTGTGTCCACATATGAAGGGGAAGTCAATTGCATGATCAGGGTGCTTGTGGTAAGAAGACCTTGTAGAGATATTGCACGGCTGAGGGGTTTCGACTTGTACCATAGCAACCAACCAGAGTGGGCTGATAAACTTGGAATCATGGCGATTCCAAGTTAAAGCTTTACATAGAGCATATAAATCCACTCAGATGTCTTTTGAGGGTCAGTCGAAGGTTTCTGGCTAATTTGAAAGATCAGACCTGCTGCAACTGTATATGACATAGTTGAACGTGAACGTTGATCCTAGATACAGAGGAATTTAAGAACAAAGGGTTTTAATATTTATATATTATAAGCCAGCTTAGATATTGCAATCTAATCCTCTCTGAATAGGGAATAAAGCTATTATGATTCAAAAAATTCTTGAAGCTGAGAGGAAAGACCTAGGCATTTCCATTGATAATTTCAAGGAGTTGCCAGAGTTTACTAAGAGGTATTCCTCGGGAGAGATGTGAACTGTAATTATACTGTACAACCTTGATGCAATTTTACTTCAGAATAGATTGGAGCTAATTTTTTTATTCTTGTATTTTAGTAAGATTTTCACTTACATTGGATCACTTGGAAATGGAATAGCCGAATTAGCGTATGAAGCCCAACATGAAAGCTAAAGAATTTCGAAAGAAGGTTCTGAGAGCAGATTGGAGGAATTGGAGAACTGGATGATGTGCAATAGCTGGAGGGGATTTGAATTGACTGTGTAAGAATAGCTCGGTCATGAAGCAAAGTCATGGTGCATAAGAAGTTACAAAACTTTCAGAAGGTATCGGAGAGCATGGGAGGTTTCAGCTTTCGCTTATGAACTTGAACTGGGGTTGCTTGGACCTCTTCTACCAACAGCAAAATTAACCACTCAAGATGCATTAAGATGGAAGAACCACTTGGAATGCATCTTAATGCATCTTAATGAAGAACCACTTTCTAGTCCACTCCAAGTATTACCTTTCTAATCCATGTTCCGATCCGAGTATTGATGGCGAATTTAGACGAATATGTTAAAGGCAAGGTCATAGGCATGCTGAGCCTGATGAGTATTACATGCTCACGAGGTCATGGCATCAGAACTCACCTTGCGTGGCCATAAGGCGACTAAATTAACTTTGTTGGACCTCAGTTATCTTCGAAGTATAATCTCAGTTTGTTTCATGGTCTTGGCATCTCTCTCTACGAAGACATGTCGGGATTGCAGCCACATGTGCCGTCAATGTATTTGACCTGGTGAGAAAAGCAAGCTGCTTACGACGCGAGGTCGGTCGAGGACGAACGAAAAGTATGCTTCGTGTATTACCAATTTGAGGCAAGAGAAGATCCTCTGCTGTACAATCTGAAGCTTTGTGAGCAAAAGAAGCTTACAGGTGGCAGATGGAAGAAGCTAACAGATCGACGTGTATGACCGTGAAACATCAAAAAGTATCATAAAACATGCCCACGGGAAGTTTCTCGAGACTATATATGAAACGACAATACATTCTTTTTAAATATAAATACGTGATATAGCAAGTACTTTTAACATGGGCCAACAAAGTAGTCTTCATTAGACAGTGCAGTTACATGATAAACTAATCATGGGAAACCTGTATTTGTATTTGTAATTGTACTTACTGCGAGCTTCTAGACATTTGAGAATTATTACGTCGGATTTCATAAGGCAATTATGTGCCCAGACTTTATTCTGATTATAGAGCATTTGAGAAAGACAGAGACCCTGGTCATCCTGCCATAGACTCATAGTTTAGGTGGTTGTTATCATCAAGATTTCCATTTGTGTATATCTGTAACAGAACGGCGACTGTCTTCATTAGAAGGTACACAATTTCGATCCACAATCACCGGCTTATGCAATTCTTTGTCGCCAGTGGCCAGACAACAGTGTTTGGTGAGGTCTTCTATGTTCGCCTACCTTTGGTCTGTTATCTGCAGTCTAGATCTTGGATTCATCAATGACGGGACGCAGTTTTTTGCAGTGAAATGACGTTTGAATGGATTCGGATCCTGCTTCGTAGCTGCAAAAGTTTTATCCTATACGATCAGAAAGAGAATGGATGTTCAATCAGGAACGACGCTTCTGGATGAAGATAGGCTCTACAAGACAACCGATTGACGGAGTTCATTCTAAGTTAGTATTCAAATGCAGTTTTTGACAACCTCTCTGGAAAGAAGACTGCAGAACTTGTTCATGATGTAGATTCATTCCATAACCGTCTAAAAGAAATTATCAAGAATTTTCCATGTTTCTGTAAAATACATGTACAGAAAGGGGAAGAGCTGCAGAGAGGAGAAACTCGCCATCCTCGGGGGAGGATGCGAGTGCACGAGCTACGGAGAGGTCAGCGGACCTCCCTGCACCGAAGGCGCAGACGCCTTCGGAGGAAGCAAGAAGGCCTTCGGGTCAAGGGAGACAACATGTGGCACCGACGAGCGGGCCGACGACGGACAGGTGCTTCGCTGCTGAGCAAGTACCATTCGATGGCTCGACTTCGGGTCAAGAGCCTTCAACGCAGCAGATGAGAGAGGAAGAGCCTTCGGCTCAACGGACTTCGGGTCAAGCGCCTTCGGCGCTAGAGGCCTTCGGCGCAGGCCCAACATGAGAGATCGGCAACGGACGAAGGCCGGAAGGAGGAGACACGTGTGCCTTCAGCACGGTCGCCTTCAGCACAAGCGCCTTTGGCGGTAGACAGCTTCGGCGATGCTCCTTCGGCGTTAGCAGATCGGGTAGGAGTAGCGGACTTGCCGAAAGCCGGATCTCCCACCGCATTGGACATTTTGGCAGGGAGTGGAGCGGCGGTCGCGGCAGCAGAAGCCACACAACTCAATTTCCGAGAATCGGCTGGGATTTCTGTAGCGACCGAGATCCTCAATTCAGAGGATGAGGAGAAAGAATCGAGTTTGGAAGAGCAGGAAGAGTAGTCGGTGCAAGGCACGCCGACAGGTGTTTTGTGAGGAGGTGGTACCCCTGCTGCGATACCTTGATCGCAAGGTGGCGAAGTATGGTGATCCCCGCCATCGGGGGTCCTACGTCGAATTGGTGCGCAATTGGACGCGGACCAAGGTCATGACAAGTCCTTTGTTGGCTTCCCTAGACAAGATAGTCAAGGATTTGGAGTTGAAAAACGACGCCCTGCGCGGATACCTCGCACTCTCGCGGAAACTGCAGAAGTTAGTAAACAAGGTGCGTGATGAGAAGTTGGCCGAAGCGCAGAAGGAATTTACGAAGCAGCGGGAGAAGCTCGAGGTGGAGCTCAATTCTAAGCAAGCTCAGAATCGCATCTTGTCAGAGGAGCTCGTGCGGCAGACACGGTTGCTAGAGCAGTGTCAGATCGCACGCCAGGCCGATGAGGAGTTACTGCGTCGCTTGCAATCGCAGTGCGACGAATTGAGAGCGCAGCGTGTGGAAGCAGAGCTGCAGTTGGTAGAAGTTGAAGGCGATCACCGGCCCGCGACAGATCGCACGCGAGAAGAGTTGGCAGATCGAGTGAATTGTTGTATCAGAGGTTACACTCACTGGGAAGTGGCTGCGCATGAGAGAATCACACTACGCGAGTTAGAGCTTCGTGCGGCGGACTTGATGTCGGGTGACAGTCGGAGCCGGCGGCAGGTCGCGAAGAGGTTAGATGCTATTCTGTCGAGGTCGCAAGACGCCATTGCGAACCTCGAGGTAGAGGTGACCGCGGTACTTCGGCGGATGGGGTTGCGCAGCAGAGTTGAAGACTGGTCGGGTAGGGAGTTAGTGCGGGGTCGTATGTCGCATAAGAGACATAGCAGATGACACGGTGTGTAGTGTAGAGTGTTAGGTAGTTAGGACTTAGAAGGTATAAAGTAGTTCAAGGTGTCTTGACTTGGGGATTCCCAGTTTCGGAAGTGCAGTTCAGGAACTCATTTTCTTTGCGCGTTTGTGTACTTAGTTCTGTCACCGCGCAAGAGGAGCTACAGATTGACGAAGTTACAACATTTTGTAGCTGAAGGCCTTCGGCCAAATGTTCAAAGCTAGTGTATTGGTTAGATACTTGAGCAGTTCGGACTTTCACCTTTAGAGTGATTGTTGAATATTCAGAGCTAGTGACTAGTTAGATACTTGAGCAGTTCGGACTTACACCTTCGGGTGATTGTTCCTGTTTGTACTCCTTAGGGATTTTTCCCCTTGAATGCCAAAGTGAAGTTTTGTTACTTCGAGTAAACCTTGGTTAACAATTCAGGTTGTACGCTGCTTGAGGCGCTTTCGGGGGTAGCCTCCGTAGTATATATGGGAATGACTAGTGCCTGAGAATTCAAACTCGTCAATAGACTGTTATGGTGTGACACTGGATCTTTTCTCAGTTGAGTTTCTCAGTTCGGTTCTTGTATTCTCTGCGCGGTTTGTGAGTTGAGTGTGTTCTTCATCGCTTGAGAGTGACTTCGGTTTGACGAAGGTACCGCATCCGAAGTAGGGAGTCCAACCCGGGTGCTCTGCTCTAGCAGTCAGAGTTAACAATCCCGAGTTGGAGAACACTACCTGCAGATCCTCTGAATGTACTCTTGAGAAACTTTCCCCCTGAATCTTAAGTAGAGGTCCTAATCAACCTATGAGTTGTGCTTTTCCAGTTTCAGGTGTGTGTTGGGGTGAACTACGCTGCACTATGCGTCCTCCGAGTGACCTCCGAGTTGAGCACTTGCAGTATTTCTGGGAGTGACAGTCGCCTGAGAATTCAAACTCTTCAATAGTCTGTTAAAACGTGACATTTAGTACTCCGTGTGTTGCCTCTGTCCTTGTGGGTTCGACCTTTTTGCTGCTATACTGCAGTTTTAGCCTTTGGTGGGTTATTACAATTATCTATTATTACACCACCATTACTCTAGTTCAATCGAAATGGCATACAAACCATGGATCAATCTAATCCCTTGACACATATTGCAGGAAATGTACACATCATTAGTACAAAAATGCACAAAGAAGCCAATGTTCAAATATTATCACACAAGTCCTTTTAACAACATCCAAAAACATATTAAAGAAAAAACCAAAAATACATAAAGTCCAACTTGGTCCATCATTGTACCAATGATCATAAAAAGTATATCTCTGGTTGGTCTGATTAACTACTGTTTCAGTCCCTACTTATTCTACCCAATTGCTAGTCGATCACAAGCACCTATATCTTGCAGTCCTGTATCTACTTTACAATGAAAAGGATGAGCTTTTTTATTTTCCAAAATATCAATCAAGTGTTGTTCTCTACTTGAGGATGTCTATCGTCACACATAATCACTAAACCCTAAACCCTAAACTCATCCTTTTTATCAGGACATTTGTGGTCTATGCCATGATCGAAGGCAAGTATGCAAGAGTCTCCACGTTGGTGTCTTGAGGTTATTTAACTGTCTGCCCTTAGGGCTTATACGAGCCCTGGTGGCAGAGCCCAATTAGTGGGCTGAATGGTAGATAAATTATTGAGATTGGAGGATCTTGATGATGTGATTTTGGCATGGTGTTAGCACTATGAGTATTTAATGAAGTTAGAAGTGTTGTCAGACTAATGAAGCAGCAGAATGCATGCGATGCAATCTTCTGAAGTGAAGCAATAGTGTGAGATTGCGCTAAAGAGAAGTATGTTATTGTGATAATGCAAACTGATATGATAAGAAGGGGATCAAATAAATATTCTGTGAAGAAAACCAATCGTTATGCCAAAAGTAGACTAGGCTCGATGAAATGGCATAGCCAGGTCGTCGGCATTGGTACATGCCTTATAGTCCTAATTAAAAAATCACGATCAAACTTATTTAGAATCTGATTGTCGGGCAGAAACGAAAGCGCAATTCTGCTGGGCCTGGAGCATGTTTTCAGATGGTTCAACTGTGTGAACGATGAAGAAACATGAATAAACAGCCTATTTCTGCATGGCAATATGGAGTAGACCGATAAAGGTGATGTCATTTATCTTCAGCAATTTGCAAAGTTTGAAATGATCCTCGATGTGGTGAAGAGAATTACAGAGGAAAATTCTTTCACCCGGATCATGTAGAGAAGCTAGTGTCTGAGAGGTGACATGAGTTAGGCTGCAATGTATTGGATGTGTGTAAATGAATGTGGAAAACGCGATTGAAAAAAATCTTTTTCTTATCTCCATGCTACTTTGAAATTCGCGAAATGGAAACACGATGCATCCCGTGTACAATACCTCACGAGAAAAGAATTAAAGCAAATTTAAATTAATGGATCATTAAAATAACGGTGAAAAATGGATAGAAATTAGTAATCAAGTATCACAAGATTCAGTTTAATCAAGGATATAGTTAAAATACAAATTGTGGCTCAAGTACGGACAAGAACAGCGTATCACATGTCAAGAAACATCTCCAATTGTTAACCATACGTGCTCCGAAGTCAGGCTGCAGGTGCTGCTGCCACACTGATCAGAAATTGAGTACTTTCCGGAAGGAATCTTCTGAACCCAAGAATCAAATGAGGATAGTGACTGAAGATAGACTTGACCCGTACTATAACATCGGTGATATCCAACTGTCCTTTCTTGAAGCCGTCCATGATCTTCAGGAACTTTTGAAAAGCTCCTTCGTCATTCATCAATCTCAAAGTGTCCTTGACATTCTGCACGTATTCGACGGCTTCCTCCAGCTGCACATTTGGACATGAAGAAGAACGGCGCGATCCGGAAGGAGCCATAAAGTCTGACCGTTTTCTCAGCTTGTTCGCTGCAAACACGTTGATTGCCCTAGATTCTTCAATATACCAACGAAACATTCGGATGCATACAAGTCCGATCGCTCGGTGTGTTGGCCGCAGCAATGGCTCGGTCCGGATCTACTGCAAGAGGGAACTCGCGCTCGAGTGTTTTCGATTTCTTACGATTCCAGTGCATTCCAAACGTCGACCTCAGGTACTACTCGACGCCTCACAATGGAGCAGCTCTGGCAGAGCTCATGCAATTCTGGCCGGGGAAGACGAGCCCCGTGGTCCAGTTTCTGCTAGTGCTGAGCAAGGACTCCGCCTGGCTCAACAGCGACTTCTTCACATGGCGCAGACTCGCAGCTGTTCAAGCCTGGACTTTATTCGAGCAAAACAAGACTTCGTTTCTCGTAAGTCTATAACTCACCCTTGATTTGAGACTTGCTTTGACTGACGTGCATGCTCTTCTCGATCTGATCTCGTTGAGTCTCTTGATGATAGTGATGCTTCTCTCTCGATATGCTGGAATTGCAGAAAGTCCATAAACTGGTTGTCAAGGAAGGATCGGCGAGGTATGATTCTGATAACGTGAGGTCAGCTGCAGCTGATCACTTCTCAATTTGTAAGCCCACTTCCAAGAGGGATGGACAATACGAATGGCTCGTCCAGTTTTTAGAGGTAATGCTTTCGAGCTGGGCAACTCGAAAGTCAGGGCCTCCACACGATGTTCGAACTCACGATTAGGGTGCAGGGTTTATGGCAACCACCCTCGCAGGAATCATGTTTGGTTCCAATACTTGAAGAAACTGACACTCCCTTTATTTGCGGTGCTCTGAACACATATTCTCTCCGTGATGGCTTTGGGATCAGGTCCGAAATGTATCTTCATAATATTCAGATTTAGTGTATAGTCATAATATTCAGATTCATTGTACAGTCATAATTTTCAGATTCATTTTTTCTCGTGGGGTTTTTTTCAACCTTTTTCATGTCGTCCACTCTTGCATCCCAATGTACTTCGCTTTTCATATTTTCCACGAAGATCAAATGTAGAATATTTATAAAGCTTGGGTGGTGGTGTACTAAACGTGGACTCTTGACTTGAAGCTAATGCTGGTTTGAAGCTTGAAGCCTACTTTTTTTTAGTATTTGAACACGAGCGCCGCATCAAGGCGCTCGTGTCTCATTCGGGTAGCTTCCTCGAATGAGACACGCATGAATCCGGTCCTGTTAGGATAATGTTAGGATCTAACGGTATGACTATACACTAAATCTGAATATTATGACGATACCCGACATCGGAGGTTGCGAGTACAAGGGAGTGCGGCAGCGCACCTGGGGCATGTGGGTCGCAGAAATTCGAAATCCGCACACGAAGAAGAGGGAGTGGTTAGGGTCGTACAGAACGAAGGAGGAGGCTGCAGCGGCCTACCAACGCAGTGAACACAAGTTCTCGACCACTTCCCTTCCATTCAACCCATTGTTCTCCGTCCGAGGACTTACAATCGGCAAAATTGCTCAGGAGTTCTCGACTACTAGCGATCCATTGATCTCCGTTCCGGGACAGAAAAAAGATTGAGATCTTCTGCCCACCTTGATATCACATGAACCTATCACTCCTCCGGATGAAGATTTTTTTGATCTTAGTGGAGAAAAAATTGTAAGGAATAACTTACCAGTAATTTAATTTTTCATGTGTAAGGACAGTCAGTGACTACGCTCTTCTCAATGCGGGTTTGAATGTACACTTGCACAATGCACTGAACCAAGTGTTACGCAGATTGGAGAAATTCTCAACTTACTCTCGTGCTCGCAACAGCTTCAGGTTGGTGAAAAGCTTGAAGAGATTATATTCTCCATAGTCGTGTATTGTTTGATCACCTATTGCTGCAGTGACTGCATTTGTATATTTAAACATCAGGGTAACTTTATGAGCTATTGTCATGATTTTTGCAAGGAAACTGATTGCGAACGAATCATCGTCGACTGGGATGTTTCTCTTTTTGGCATTCTTCTAGAATTGTTTCATTCTGGTCATCTTGATATTTTAGCTTCCAAAGTTGCAGCTCTGCTTGAGGTGAGTAGAGCAGATAAAATCGTCTACCAAGACTACACATTCGGAGTAGTATTCGTGCTTTGAAGTTTTCTGTATACAAGTTAGTTCTCATCGCAGCTCACGTCAACATCAGAGGGTTGTACTTGTCATTGTCAGCTTGATAGAATGCGTCTTTAGCCCCACTTTGAAGTTTTCTATATACAAGTTAGTTCTCATCGCAGCTCACGTCAACATCAGCGGGTTGTACTTGTCATTGTCAGCTTGATAGAATGCGTCTTTAGCCCCACTTTGAAATCACTTATACTTTGTTGTGAATCCTCTATTGATGAAGAAAGTGAAGTGTTCTTTTTCTTATCAGACATGGTAGGTAGCATTTATTCGATTTATTCACTATCAGTTACATTGCCCTACTTTACATTTCATGAAGCTTAGAGGTTCTTAACTTTTAAGGGAATGTTTTCCCATGTATCAATCTTCCACCTGGTCTAGTTTACAGTAGACGGGCTATTTTTCTTCAAGAATTCTTTCGAAGGAAGAAAGTTTGTGAAAGAAACAATGATAAGGTCGCAGAACGTGCGTTGAACCGTTCCAAGGACATCACATGCTTGCACTGAAAGTATCATCTTTGCATATAATCGTCATTAAGTCTTGGTTATTGGTGTTATATGAAGATGTGATCAGTGGTTGAATTTTTATACTTTCGAACAGATTCTGAAATCTTGCTGGTTAATTTTTGCCACGATGCAAAATGCTGAATGATTCTAGTATCCATGTGGATCGCTTGAACTGTTCACGTTTCGCAAACAATTGACTATACAATACAATGCTAACGTGATGTTGGGAAAGAGTGTCACACATCACCGCCAATCAGTGCATTCTACTGAGCCTCCTCCATGCCAGGGCATAGTTTCTCCCCATTGTATCAAACTTGAACTTGCAGGACGGTTAGAGATGGATGATAATTCATGTGTTATGAAGCTCTAAACTAATAGGACCGACAGTCCCATATCAGCCATGCGTGTCCATTTCAGATTGTGATATCTCCTAGGAACACTCTCAAGCATCTCAGGATGTTTTGAAACGCAGTATCTTCTGTGTGATTTCCAGCAGCTCGAAATGAAAAGACGCACAACTATATTTTAGACGCTGAAATAGTCACGATGAAATAGAGGCGATGCAAGTTTTGTGGGTTTGTGCTCTCTTGGAATATATTTTTTATCAACTCGATAATGTTCCTGGTACCCATCCTCTTCCATTACATTTGTCTCATCATCCGGAGAACCTCACATTCTTGCATTTTTTTTGCCTCTCTCCATTGGCAATCCGATCAGGTTCTAACTATTTCACAAGATTGAGGGTTGTTTGCGAAAATCAAATGCACGGAATGGAATATTAACAACTGCCATTCACATTGCAAGATGGCATTGTTATCTCTTTCTATATCACATAGATTTTCACTCTGCTTTATGGCCTACAGCAGATTGTGTCTTACACTAGATAAGAAAGTGAGAGGTCCACACCATGTTGCAGGAAAATTGCTCATCAGTATCAAGAAGTACGTAGTTTGTCCAAACAATGATCTCAGTTTCATCCGAAACTATGAAATGTTGGGATCAAATTCTACTAAATACTAAACGTTTTTATTCCTGAAGGATTTTATGACCAGATTTGTCTTGCCCGATGGCATCGATCAGTATGTCCTTATTGCTTCATTGTTGCTCTCCAACAACGGTATATGTTGAAAATTCCAAAAATTTCACTATGAAGTTCGAACATAAATGACTATTTAATGCAGCAATTAGTTATCATTGATAAATTTCCTGAGAATTAAAAGAAAATCTCATCAATGAGTTCCTCTGTTTAGAGGCCCGCTTGTATTTGTCCATATTATCAATTTTGGATTCGAATGTTGAACGTGGGAATTGCCCTCATTTCTTGGTTCTAGTTTCTCATCTCTACTAACAAAGTGCTGTTCACAAACTTTGTGTAGCAATTTCACATTCTTGAGATTCAGAACGAGAAAATGTGTTTATTTAAAAGGGGATGAAAGGTATAACTTGAGTTAATTAGTAGGCTAAGAGAGCTGGAAAATTAGTTGTCACAATTTAGAATCTGATCACAGATATTTCCTCACTTTGTACTTCGAGATTTTCCTTGTCCTCCTCAGTCCTTCGAGATTCGTGGGCATTTGGTAAGTTCATGATGGGTCAATCCTGCCCATGATGAACTTACTCCAGTCGGAATGATCAGCCGAAGTGACTAAGAATAACGTTTTTTTAAATAAGATAAACAATTCAAATGCTCTTGCACTCCACTCAATTCGAAGACCGTGAACTAAGAATCGCCGGCTCCCGGGTGTTAATCTCGAGAACTGTTTGCGTGGTAAATGTCGTTCCAGATGTTCTTGCATTTCTCCAGGTCTTGACTGAAGGCAATGTGCTGCGATTCCAAAGAGGATGATGACGGCCATCCCGAAAACAGACGTACATTTATTTGCAATCTAACACGTTCTACCTTTCAGAGCTGTGAAAAGAATAAATATACCCTCGAACAAAAAAACCTAAGTGCTTTATTTTGACTACTACTTTTTATTATCTATGTTACGCGAAATGTTTTATGGATATAAATATCGAAATACTTTAGGAGCGGATTTTTTTGGATGTTGCACGGGTGACATGATACCTTAATATAATTTGTGGTCTTGGTAAAACAAATCGACCCTAGGGTGATTAAATTGGTGGACCTCATAATGATTTGAAAGAAATTCAATAAACCACTTTAATAGCGAATTTCCGCTCTTATTATTTTTCTCTCTCTATATGACCGGTGCGTGAATCTCTAGTCATTGTGTATTTATTTTCACGATATTGTAAGCGTTGAGGCAAAATTAGTCCAAGTCGATAATTAAATAATTCGAACCGGAAGTTGAATCTGTGCAGGCCAGCGTTCTGATACCCGGACGAACGTGCCCGGCTGCGTAACGGCTTGCATGGCTAGGTGGAGGAATATCAGCGGGGCATATTCCTGCAGGCGCGTGCATTCAAATCCGGTGACCACCAGCCGGCTATAAATTGCCCTGGACCTCGGACAGAGAGAGCTCGAGCGGCCAGACTTCAATTCGCCGAGCAGCGCACTTCTTGCCGGATGTCGTCGGCTCGTTCGGATGGTGCGGACACGGAGCACAGTCTCCCCCTCGAGCCGAAGGAATCGGTCTGTTGAGAAACCCTTTCTCGAGCATTTCGTGCTCTCTTTGTGAAGAAGCGCCCCTTTGGAATTGATGAAGAAATCCAGAGCTCGGGTTTTTTTAAACAGGTATGACATGAAGGGGAGACTGATGAGAGAGGTCCTGTTTATCTGATGGATGAAGTGGCTCTGACTCATCCAGTTGTCATTTTGATGTGAAAAGTTCATATGAACTTCGAGACTTTGAGGAGAGATTGCACTTGCAAAGGATCATATGAAAATCTCAGTATTTGCTTTGCTGGTTCTTGTTGGAGAATCTTTGCATTCACAGTGTATTAATTCAGCGGTTCTGGTCGGGGACAATTTACAAGATTGTGTTTTGATTTTATAGGTAGAATAGCAAGTCGCCTGTGCTGTAGATCCAGAAGGAAGACTGGAACGCCTGAATTAATGAATTTCAACATCTGAGCGGTGTCTGATATCTGGTATATTGAAGAATCTAGGTCAATCGACGTATTTGCAGCCAACAAGCTGAGAACACGGTCAGACTTTATGGCTCCTTCCGGATCGCGCCGTTCTTTTTCATGTCCGAATGTGGAGGTGGAGGAGGCCTTCGAATATGTGCAGAATGTCAAAGATACTTTGAAATTGATGAATGACGGAAGGACCTTTTCAAAAGTTCCTGAAGATCATGGACGGCTTCAAGAAAGGACAGTTGGATATCACCGATGTTATAGTACGGTTCAAGTGTATCTTCAGTCACTATCCTCATTTGATTCTTGGGTTCAGAAGATTCCTTCAGGAAAGTACTCAATTTCTGATCAGTGTGACAGCAGCACCTGCAGCCTGACTTAGGAGCACATATGGTTAAGAATTGGAAATGTTTCTTGACATGTGATAGGCTGTTCATTCTTGTCCCTACTTGCGCCACAATTTGTATTTTAACTATATCCTTGATTAAACTGAATCTTGTGATACCTGATTACTATTTTCTATCTATATAAATAACGGTGAAAATAACGAAAAAATATTTTCCTTATCTTCATGTTCCTTTGAAATACGCGAAATAGAAACAGGATGCATGCCGTGTACAATACCTCAAGAGAAAATAGTTAAAGCAAATTTAACTTAATCCCAATCTGACGAAAGCCTGACAAAACGGACGGACTGCAGCGAAGTCAACCTTTGAGGACCGGATTAAATGTTTCATTTTCTCATTAGTGAAATCCATGAGTGCCTAGAAGGTTCGTGTTCTTAAATGTTTCAAAATCTCATTAGTGAAATCCATCAGTGCCTAGAAGGTTCGTGTACTAACGCCCTCTTTTCAAGGGATGATGAGACAAGAGTGAGATTTTATTTTGTCAGATTAAATAAGATTTCGACATGCAGCTCTAGCTTTGGTGCCTGTGTATATATTGCGACACCGCAGTGCCCTGCAATAAATGCCCAGCCCCAGTCCAGTTAGTAAAACTTTTAGTTCAACTCACTAACTGCGTGATTGGCCCAAGCGCAAAGGACAGAAGAGCCGAAGAGTGGTGCAACAAGGAGGGAATATCAATCATTGGTGGGCGGAAGGGACGAGAATAGACTGCTGCTTGGAGCCTATATTTGGGTTCCGGAAGATTTCAGAAACTCTTTCACCATCTCGTTTGCTTCTCGAAAGAAAGAGGACAAGGATGCAGGTTACGTGGAATGCTGCTCGGGGCCTATGTTTGTGCTCGGGAAGGTTGCAGAAACTCTTGCACCATGTCGTTTGCTTCTCGAAAGAAACAGGACAAGGGTGAGGGTGTGCAGCGGCAACCGCTGCTTATTTTTCTCGCGGTTGTTGCATATTGTCGGTGAGCCAAAGGTGATGATTTCACTGGTGCGCTACGCTGACGCCGACGATAAGGTGTTGATGGGAGTAACGCAATAGGTATAGCATACTTACAATGAAGATTGAGAATGGAACACGGATAAATCCGATCCAGTTTCCCAGTACTTTAGAAAAGTTTATAGTAGGGCATGTTCCCTGTCCCTTGGAGCAATGAAAGATTCATCGCTCTCTGTCGTGGTTGGAGAGCAGTTCATCACGAGTACCTTGTTTGTTGATCACGAGGACTTCGACTCAACTGCACAGTTCCACGATCTCGGATTTGCTCAAGAATCTCGATATCGTAAGTTTTTTTTTTGTTATACATTAAAATATCTGCAAAGCTTTTTACATATAAGGAGTTTTGTTTTCTCGCTACTCAACAGTTTGTTACTCCGGACCTTACTTTTTGCCCTTTCATTCCATTCTAACGTGAGAACTTTAGACTTGTGACTAGTCTTGGCTGAAATTGATGTCCAGATAATCTTCCATGACCATTTTTGGGACCTATATTTATGCTCGGAAAGGGTGTAGGGTCCAGAGTAACATACTGTTGAGTAGCGAGAAAATGAAACTCCCTATATGTAAAAAACTTTGCAGATATTTTAATGTACAACCAAAAAAAAGTTTACGGTATTGAGATTCTTGAGTGTCTCCAACATCGTGGAACTGTGCAGTCGAGTCGAGGTCCTCGTGGTCAACAAACAAGATCCTCGTGATAAATTCCTCCCGACAACGACAGAAAGCGATGAATCTTTCATTGCTCCAAGGGACGGGGAATATGCCCTACTATAAACTTTTCCAAAGTACTGGGAAACAGGACCGGATTCATGCGTGTCTCATTCTGAATCTTTATTGTAAGTATGTTATACCTATTGCGCTACTCCCATGGAATTTTGCACTCATAAGTCAATTGCTCGCTATGCAGGTTGGGCTTCGGCTTTCAAAGCTATTTGAGATTTGGGCCGAGAAGTACTCATTTGAGAACGTCGAAAGATAAAAATCAAACCAAAAATCGTATGGGAGCCTTCTGTAATGACAGTGGGTCCCATCTCCTTTAAGCTTGGCAAAAGACAGAGCTCAAGTTTCTGCGCCGAACAACGAGACGATCGTTGTTCGTTGACCACTGTCTTCGTTGACCTGCATATTCCTTACTCTTTAGGTAGGAATATGACAAGGAGGAAGAAAGCTTCTAGAGGCGAGGGAGGATCCGACAATGGAGATAACAAGTACAAGGGAGTGCGGCAGCGCACCTGAGGCACGTGGGTTGCGGAAATTTAAAATACGCACACAAAGAAGAGGGAGTGGGTAGGTTCGTACAGAATGAAGAAGGAGGCTGCAGCGGCCTACCAACGCAATGAACACAAGTGCTCGACCAGTCACTTTCCATTCATCCCATTGTTCTACGTCCGGGGACTTATAATCGGTCAAATTGCTCAGGAGTTCTCAACTACTAGCGATCCATTGTTCTCTGTTTGTTCTCCGTTTGGGGACGTGCCGTTTTCTAAATTGCGGTGAGTTTTTACTTCATAATTTGTATGTTATCATTGATTGACTTTTGCTTTTAATTTTTTTCCTTAATTTTTCACTCTTCATTTTTAAGATGAGCAACCACCACCTGTGCAGAACGAAGATTGGAATCTTCTGCCCGCCTTGATATCACATGAATATCAACAAATTGATGTGAGTTTTTACTTCGTAACTTGTATGTTAACATTAGTTGATTTTTCTTTTTATTTTTTTTCTCTAATCTTTCACTCTTTTTTTTCTAGGTTGAGCAATCACCACCTGTGCGGAACGACAACTGTGATCTTCTGCCGCATTTGATATCACCCAAACCTATCACTACTCCGGATGAAGAATATTTTGATCTTAGGGGAGAAAAAATTGTGAGGAATAATTTACCAATAATTTAATTTTTTCATGTGTAAGGACAGTTAGTGTGTAATAACCCACTAAAGGCTAAAACTGCAGTATAGTGGTAGAAAGGTCGAACCCACAGGGACAGAGGAACACACAGGGTACAAAGTGTCACATTTAACAGACTATTGAGGAGTTTGAATTCTCAGGCGACTGTCACTCCCAGAAATATTGCAAGTGTCCACTCGGAGCGCACTCGGAGGTCGCACAGTGCAGCGTAACACACACACACACACACACCTGAAACTACAGAAACACAACCCAGAGATCCGTTAGGACCTCTACTCAAGATTTCAGGGGGGGGGGGGGGAAAAGTCTCTCGCAAGTACTCAGCGAAGCTGCGGGTAGTGACTCCCAACTCCGGCTTTTACAACCCTTCCACTAGTTTTCTGCTAGCGTAGGGAACCCGGTTTGGACTTCCTACTTCGGATCGAAGTCACTCACACGCGGTGAACAACACTCTCAACTCACAAAACGCGTAGAGAACACAGGTCCGCACGGAAGGACTCACTGAGAAACGTTCCAGTAACACACCATAACAGTCTATTGAAGAGTTTGAATTCTCAGGCACTTGTCATTCCCAAAAATACTACAGGGGTTAACCTTAAGGCACCTGCTGCAGCGTAACCTGAATTTACAACCAAGGCTTACACGAAGTAGCAAAACTTCACTTTGGCATTCAGGGGAAAAATCCCGAAGGAGTACAATCAGGAACAAACACTCAAAGGTGTAGGGGCGAAACTATTCAAGTATCTAACTAGTCACTGGCTCTTAGCATCGGCAATCACCTGCAGGTGTAGATCCGAACTACTCAAGTCTCTAACCAATGTACTAGCTCTGAACATTCGGCCGAAGGCCTTCATCTACAAAATGCGAAACGCCAAGTTGTAGCCCCTCTTGCGTGGTGACAGAACTAAGTACACAAACACGCAGAGAAAATGAGTTCATGATCTGCACTTCTGATGTTGGGAAAGATCCCAAGGCAAGACGCCTTGAACTACTTTATACCTTCTAAGTCCTAACTAGCACTACACTGCACTACGCTACACGCCGGCACAGAACCACGCTACACTACACTCCGCGGAACCTGTGCTTCGCCTCCTGCGCGACGGACTGCCGCGCACTAACTCCCTACCCTGCCAGTCTTCCGCTCGACTGCGCAGTCCCAATCGTTGCAACGCAGCGGACACCTCCGACTCAAGGGTGGACATGGTATCCCGCGCCTTCGACAGAAAAGAGTCTAGCGTCTTCGCTACCCGCCGCCGACTCCGACTGTCACCTGCCAACAACCCGGCTGCGCGAAGCTCTAACTCACGCAGTGTGAATTTCTCCTGCGCCGCCACTTCCCAGTGGGCGTAGCCCTTGAGACAATGGGCGACTCGCCTCGCCATCTCCGCCTTCGTGCGATCTGCCTCTCGCCTGCGATCGTCTTCAATTACTATCAACTGCAATTCGGCCTCCGCACGCTGAGCTCTCAATTCTCCACACTCCGACTGCAGCCTGCGGATCAAATCTTCATCCGCCTGTCACGCGAGCTGACACTCTGTCGATAGAAGTTTATCAAGAAAGGAGAGAGGTGATTGAGAGTTCCCCCCTTCTCCTCGTATGCGTGCTGTCGCATCACCCTATGTAGGATGCGCGCCCAGTGAAGTGGAGCTCTGGCCAAGATGAGCTCCACAAAAGACACCTGCCATAAGGTGATGTACGAGGTGCAGTGCGGCTGCAGCAATTGCAGCAGCGCCGCCGCTACAGTTCGGCGGAAACGATCTTTGTAGTCGCGGGTCTTGTACCCGTTCTTGGTAGACCTCTCCCGCTTGAACAATTCCACGAATTGCGCTTCGTCCTACTTCGTCACCTTGACGCTCTCACTATCAAATAGGAGGTACCCGTCGTTGCCGGCACACCTCCCCAATGCCTGCGCCCAATCGTGGACGGTCCACCGATCTACGTGCGGACGCAATCCGCGCGTAGGTTGTCGCTCCGCGTCCAGCCATTCGCGCACCATGTATACACATATGTAATTCCACCCCCACAGCAAGAAATCAAGTTTTCTTGCAATCAGCCGCTCCTCGAAAGCACGCAACCCGTTCTGTGGAAGCCGGAGCGGTAGCATCCGCAGCCTGTTCACTCTTGACATTGCGTTCTTGAAATTTGCTTGCGCAACAACTCTCTCTCTGCTCTGCTCGAGCTTCTTGCTTCCTCTGCAAACTCCAATCTCCCTCAATTCCAAATCGCGTGCACTCAATTCTCTCTCAGTCACCAAGTAATCCTACGCGCGGCAATGTCTAGAACGTTTAACAGCTAGCAGGTGGACGCGCGCAGCTCGTA